TTTATGTAAACAAGAGTTTTTTGCTGTCGATTTTGGTGAGTCCAGTGTTTGTTATTTACTCAGCCATGTAACACAAATTAAAATGCAGTGTTTAATGTTACTGTATGAGTTCCAATAGAAAATACAGTTGTAAACCTCTCTTTGTGTGTCTTTATTATGACGTAACGACTAGTCGACTAGTCGACTACTATTTTGAAAAACTAGTCGACTAGTAAATATTGGTAGTTGTGAAACCCCTACTATGTAACACTCGCGCTTCTATTGGCTAGCACTCCAACACATTGTACGTGATAGGCTTATGGGCGAGACATCTCTAAGCGGCTGACCAATCACAGATCAACAGAGAATTAGGCCAATAGAGACACAGCACTAGTGTTGTCCATGGGGTGCAGTGTTGGGACTAATGCGTTACTGTAACGCAACTACTTTTTGTGGTAACTAATAGCGTTACTAGTTACCTATTCCCATTCAGTAACGCCGTTATAGTTACTGTGATTTAAATGGGTGCGTTACTGCGTTACATTATGTGATGGAACTGAACCGAATCTCCATGCGGATGTAACTTACAGGCGAATACAGCGATGTCCTCTCACAGCACCATGGAAAAGTGAAAGTAACCAGAGAGGAGTGATGATTGGTTAACGCGGGGTAACATTTCAGGGTAAGCCAATCAGAGACAGAGTTGGGCGGGTCTTGCCTTATGGGGAAAATACACACACGAACACTTGCTAATGCTAACACACACACACGGCAACGCTCACCACCAGCACACACACAAACAATGGCAGATGCAAGTATCAGCGAGAGCAGCAGCGCATTTACAACTTGGAGATATAACCACTATTTTCAATTTGTGGGGATAAAGGACACAACAAATATTACGGTGAAATGTAAACTGTGTGCAGGACAGAAAGCATTGTCCACTTGATTGTTGAGGCTACAAGAAAGATGCCTGTCAAAATGTCTAAACATATCTTTTGTGTTTTATTGCTCCACTGCATTTCATAATGATAATTGCTACAATGATGGGGAGTTGTCTTTTCTCTTACTGTGCCACAGAACAACACAAAAACTTGCATTTGTATTGTTATTATTTTTAAAGTAAAGTAAAGTAACTTGTTACTAGTTACTTTTATAATTCAGTAACTAATAAAGTAAGTAGTTACTTTTTTGAGAGCAGTAACTATAACTATTCCTAGTTACTTTTTTAAAGTAACTTGCCCAACACTGATCGCGATCGACGTATTGGGCACCCCTGGTCTATATATATATCCTTTATTTTACTAGGTAAAAAGTCTCATTGAGATTAAAATCTATTGACCTGGCCAAGAAGGGCAGCAAGAACAACAGGTAAAACACAGACCAATATTCAGGCAGACGGACACAGCTGGTAAAACCAAATGAATGGCACATTAACCAGTCTATAATCGCGATAAAAGAAACTATTAGAAATCATAAAACCCGGTCAGTCTTAGGTCACCCGGCTGCAGCTGACGCTGGTCCCTTGCCTCCCACGGTTGAGGACTCGGATCGTACAGCTCTGTGCAGGGAGGTTTCAACAAGGGAGGACCGCCTCACCCCCTGAGCCGCATAGAGAGAGTGTTAGAGAGCAGACAGAGCAAATCCTTTCAATGCAAATAAAAATGTCATATGCATTAATTAATAATGTATTACATAATTATCTTATATCCCAGTTGACGTAAAAATAGGATGAGAATGAAACTGTCCTTGTTTATCTGAAGATGGACTGTAGGTAATTTATTCTTAAATGGTTCACAAGCGGTCCGAGATGGGTACAAGCGGCCGAGATGGGTTTCTCCGCAGGGTGGCGGTGTCCTCCCTTAGGGATAAAGGTGAGAAGTTCGGCAGTCCGCAGAGGGATCGAGTTGAACCGCTCTCCTTACGCGTCGAAGGAGCCGTGGGTGGTTAGGGCACCTATTATGGTGAACCTGGCGCCTCCTAGGGAGTGTTCTCAGGCCGTCAAGCTGGGAAGAGACCAGGGGTAGACCTAGAAACCAGATGGAGGGACTATATGTCTTCCTGGCCTCGCGAGCGCCTTGGGACCCCCAGTCAGAGCTGGTTGTGTGGCAGGCGAAAAGAAGTTGGGCTCTCTGCTTGGACTCACCGTCCGCGACCCGACCGACGGATAAGCGGAGAAGGATGGATGGATGGTGGCTGATAGATGGTGTATGTTGTATGTAGTGTATGTACTGTAGGTATGATATGGGTACATACTGTATTGTATGGTATAGATAGACATTTAGTTATGCTGTGCGTGAGTATTTTAATATCTTTTTTTAACTTTACTTCGCTAACAGGATGACTACACAGCGCGGAGGGCTCTCTGTAACAGACTGCTTTCAGCCCTCCACTTCTAACCTTGTGTTGTT